TAAAAAATATATATATATATATTTAACACTGCAATCTGCAGAATAATGTGCTATTTTATGAAGACATCCTAATCCAATTTTATTATATTAGGTCAATTCTTTAAAATTTTAATTTAAAATATATATTTTAAGATTCTAGTGTTTAACAAACAGATTGGTGAAGAGAGTTTTGAACTTTACAATTCTCATAAGCACCTTTGTTATGAAATTCGTTAGTTTGTCTTCATACATGAATTATAAATAGTTATCATACATAGTTATATTAAGTACATAATTATGAAACGTTGTGTTTAAACTAATGACAGACGTTTTATTCTTTTAAACCAGAACTGAAGATGTTTTCTAAAATAAAACGTAACCTTATAAATTATTTTTTATACATAAATTTCTATTTATCGATGACTTAATTTATATATTCTGAGAAGCTTTGATGTAGTCTACCTTAATCAAGTTCACATTTTACAAGTTTAAGACTAAATTTAAACAATAGTAACTACGGAGATCTTTTAACTCTGAGGAACTGTTACTTACGTTCTACGAAATTTTTAGATAGCTGAATAAAAATTATGCAGGCCAATGTTTTAAATTTTCGAAAAAGCTTAAGAACATTAGTTGAGCAGGTTTTTTCTATACATCTTTGGATTATTTGAATATCGTAGTAGGAAAAATAATTTTAAATCATACGTTAAAACGTAATTACTTTTGAAACTTTTGAAAAATTTCTCGAATAGTACCCGACCGTCTTGCAGGAATTTATTTAAATATTTTTAATTACCTCAGGTGAAAATTTGGCTGTTTGGTTGGATTTATTCTTGTTATTCGACAACTTCAAATCAGCTTTCTTTGGAAATTTAATTTTTTAAATTACATTGAATTAAATGCAAATTTAATTAATTACATTAATTACAAATACATTAAATTAAATACAACTTCTTAAATACAAAAAAATTTAAATTTTTGTGCATACCTGTAAAAACTTGCTGTTTTTTTTTTTAAATTTCAAGAAAAAAATCATTTTTTACTTTTTGTCTTAGGATTCATTAAATCTTTGAAAAAAAAGCCCCTATTTTCCCCAAAAAAACTATAAGCAAAATAAACGCGTGGTTTCAGAAAACTTTTGAAATGTTAATTTGTTGACATAGCACCGATAACTGAACTCGTGAAAATAATTAAACATTAAAAACGTGTGATAAAATATTAAACAGAATCATTTACAATTTTATTGATAACAATAGCTAATTTTTTAAAAAAAAACTAATGCGAAAAAATCCCTTTTCAAACATTTCTCCCAAACGATATAATTGCTATTATTGTTCTCGTAAGCCATTAAAGTAAGGGAAGGCGATTGTTCTTGTTTTCCAGTAGCGCTATCTATGGCCAAGAATTTGATTTTTGCCACACCTATACGTCACAGCCCGTTTATTGGGCGAACCCATTCATACATCCATTTATTCATCTACATATCGTAATTTTGACCCGAACGAGAGAACGACCAATCTCCAATTCAGTACCCCCAGTGGTATAATTTGTTAATGGTATATGGGGGACTTTATAACCCGATAGGTTTAACTTGCACCAATTACCATTTACTGCACGAGGGGGGGGGATCTACGGATGACTGGATTCGAACTCCCGTTCTTTCGAAAGTGAGTTCATCTCCCTGCCAACCGGGCAATAACAGCCTCAACGGAATAATTAAAGAATTTTAAATGATTTTTTGGATCTGGAGCGAAAATCGCTTCTCGTAGTCGATGTACTAATTTCAAAACTCTGGCGCCAACGTTTTTCGGGGTTATAAGAGATTTAAAATAACATTCCGCTACAAGGACATTAATAATAGAGTAGGCGTAAACAAAAAGTTTTAAAAAAAACTAAACGAGAAGGTTGTGTTTAAAATTTAATTTTTTTCTTACGTTTCAAAGGTATTATTCAAATTCTGAACTTCAGTATAAAAAAATAAAGTGTCTAAAAGAAAAAATGGTTGAGGGATCGCTAAAAATTAGACATTATGTTATTAAATGCTTGCTTCCTGTACTGTTAATAGTTGATAATAGTGAGAGAGATATAAAAAGCAGAATTTTTTTCATTAAATAAACATTTTTGCTCTGAAGTTTAGAAAAAAGTTCCAGTATTCAAATGAAACTAGTTCTATTGTAGAAGAACTCAAATGAAATTACGAACTAAGATCAGCTGCATTCAGAACTGCAACAACTTCTACGCTTTTTACTAAATATTTTATAGAGTGATAGGAAATTTTAAAAAAGTAAGGCTTTGAGAATTTTTTGTTGTGCTTTATATAAACTACTTACATGTAGTGGTACGAAGAATAACTTTAAATCAAATTTACAACACATACTTTGAAACATAAACTTAGCTACCACTGAAAGAATTTTTTTCCAAAAAGCGTAGACCAAGCGTAGGCGGCCCTGAGCATATACAAAAAGAATACTTCTACCTGGAGTACCGCAGTTTAAAAAGAAATTTATTTATTAATGAAATTATAACTATCATAAATGTAACAATAAAATAAATTTCCGTTACAAATATCTTATATAAGCAAACTTGTACAGAAATCTGACTTACCACCTTTGCCATTGCCACCTTTACCACCACCATTGCCTCCACCACTTGGCCAGCCACCACCATTGCCTCCTCCACTTGGCCAACCACCACCATTTCCTCCTCCACTCGGCCATCCACCATTACCACCGCCACCTTTACCACCTTTACCGTTACCACCATTCATCATTTGCGGCATAATGCTTATTTGTACTGGAATAGCCTGTACTTGCAATCCTCCTGTGGAATAGTGTTCGTAAAAATTGTAAATGTTAGAGAGATTTAACGCATAGCATCCCACACGTTTACGTACGTATGTTCTACGCTACGTAGCTCAATTACTACAGAATAATCACACTTTTCTACAGAGCTTGGGCAGAACATACATACGTGAAACACATAATAGTGTACATAATAATTCATACGTAAACCACAACCAAGCATACCACACGTACGTGAATACGTACGAGTGGTATGCTTGAAAGCAACTAATAGTAAATAATCATTATCTTATAAAGTTAAGCATTTTCGGAACAACCTGTTGAAGGGCACGGGGCCATAAAAATTAAGGGTTTACAATCTCGTGACCAATGGCCATAATGGTGACATTGTGGTCATATCTAAGATACTGACCGTCTTTACTTTCCAGACCCATAGCTGGGTGGGATTCGTGTTGCCGCCAGAAATAGAATCCCAGTTTTTTACAATGGCGCTCAGTGAGCCATGGTGGCTGAGGGATAAAGGGGTTAGAACCGGATTCAAATCCCAGCGATGACTGATCGATACTAATTCCACACCTGGCTCGCACCAACAATAGTGCTGATGGTAAAATATCCTCAGTGGTAAACGGATCATGGGTTGGAGTCACCTTGCCGTCAGACTAACCTTGGGAGGTTTTTGAGGTTTTCCTCTCCATGTAACGCAAATGAGCGTCAGCTCAATCAAAAAGTCCTCCACGAAGGCAAAATTTCTCCCACTACTTGATCTTGGAGATTCCTTGTCTTCTGGATCGCGTTCAAAATTACTACTGGCGTTGAACATTGGTTGTCGTATACTCAAAAAAAAGTGTGTCGGTTGTTCAACGACGGTTGTAAAATATGAATAAAATTACAGCTCAGTGCCTTAATCCCTAAGCCATTAATAATTAATTAATCTTTGTAATGAATGGTTTAAAATTTAGTACTATCAAATGGTTTAAGCTATTGCATTTTAATATTTGTTTTGTTTTAAGTGGTAGGAAATAAATTGTCTTACCTCCATTTCCCCCTCCTTTACCATTACCATTTCCACTTGGCCATCCACCACCGCCACCACCACCATTACCATTCCACCCTGATGCTTGTACCAGCAAGTCATCGAGATCGTCAATGATAGTAATGGGAGGTTTTCTGGTTGTAGTACTGCTTCCACTGTTACCGGCGTTAGGGGGTGGCTTTGGATTACCGGTTATTTGAGGCGATGTCTTCTTTTTGGTCAGCACAACGCCAATTATGACAGAAAGGGTGACAATTGCCCACGTTACCTGAAATTAAATGTTCATGTTTGATTGAAATATATTGCTATAAATACACAAATGGGCGAGCTTCGTGCTAAAATACAAACCTAGGTAAACAACGTTAAAGAGCACAAAAATATTATTAAATGCAGACAGCTGTTTCGGATGCTCAAAGGGCAACCTTCATCAGTGCAACAGAAAGAAATGAGAGAAAAAATTGTTTGTTATGATATTGCTATATCAGTGATCGCCATTCTTTAGATCCTCTCGGGTTACCCAACAGGAAATATTAAATCGCGTGAACCGATCTTATAATTTTGGACGAGGCGAAAATACCCCATATGATTTGAGTGGGGTTTTTAAGTGCTTCCCTCTAAAAGAAAATTGACGCCTTTCCGAGATTTTTAAAAATTGTACTAATTAAAAATTTATTCACGGTGAGAAGTTAGTAAATATTATTAAAGAAGGGTTAAGTGGGTAACATCGAGTAGCTAAAATTCAAAGACCTGTTGGAGCTAAACTGTCTGACCTAGAAACTCTCAAATTTAATCAAAATATCCATTGTTTAGTTGTGTACTATATATCATACCTGAAAAGTCAAAGAAGTACTACTTTTTGATAAATATTTTTTCTTTCAGTTAAGGTCAAATCGACATGGTGTTGCCCAACTAGTAAGACAGTGTACCCATGTTAACTTTATGGGAAATTTATAAATACTAGAATTTCAGTAAAAAAAACATACGACAGACATTTTTACTGTATACGATTTATTTGTGACATGCAATTTATATGTGATATAGTCAAGGCCTAACTCAAAGGGGGGGGGGGGGAAAGAGGGAGGACAATTGTCCCAAGGCCTGAGACTACAGAGGGACAGACCAAAATTATTACAAAAAATGAAGAGTTTATTAATTAGTTATGTTAAAAAGAAAATTGCAGAGAATTTCTCTATATCTGTATAAAAACTACAAACTTATATAAGGAGTCTTCAAAAGTTAAGCAAAGTATGAAAATAAGGTTTTTTTGTGCTTTGAAGAAGAGGTCCGGAATAAATTTTGTCCTGAATCCGATAAAACCTTTGTTCAGTCTTGGATCTAGTTATCTTCTTCTTCTGCTGAACTGCAGCTATCGTGAGTACAGCATAGACAAACATCAAGGGGGGTAAGAACTGGTAGTACCGGGTCTTACCTCTCCCTTTCCGAAGGCAGAAGTTATCGAAACGAAGGAGAACAGGCAACTATTGGACTAAATCCTTATTGTTTGTTATGATATGAATCTTTAAACATATAATAAACTATATTAAAAATAATTTTTATAACTGTAATGGCTAATAAATAGGATTAGTTTAAAAACTTAAGAACAGTAAAGGGTTAACACTACCAAGCAAATTTATCTACTCAAAAAGGCTGAATCTTAGGACCTCTTCACCTAAATTATTATTTTCTACCACTTAATAAAATATATCTCAATGATCTTATAAATTTACAATTGAGAGTTTTAAAACTTAGTTAAATTAAATAAGATATAAAACAAATTCATAAAAAGAGGCAATGTATTTAGAGTTGCATGAAACTTGTTGCTACTGTTTAAATAGTTACAAAATAAATAATTAAAACCTTTGTCAATGTATTCTATGATTAGTAATACATTAAAAAATAATTCTCCCCTTTGGGAACATGTTCATTTTTTAAAAAATGATTATGAGGGGTAACTTGTTATTTCATTTATTTTGTAGATTTACCCATTTCTACCTAGTATAGTAAAAAAAAACGTGGTTTGGTTAGCACATATGTTTTGTCATTAAGATTTATTTCGCATAAGCAAGATATAGTTCTGCGTACTATAATATATTAATAATATAAATACTTATTTTTAATCTGAAGTCAATGCACAGTGTTTTTATCTAAAGGTATTAAACAGAAATATCCCTTTTGAAGTAAAGAAATGTGCATAGTGCGAAAAAAAACGAACTACCTTGGATAACTTTCGATCTAATGGTCGGATCTTCATGTTCTTGGACTCAATCTTAATGGTTCGATCTCAAGTATGTTATTTTTGAACACAATTATAAAATTCGTTTTTCCAAAAATAACTACAGACAAAATATAACTTTTAGCAAATACTTGTTACATCTTCTTTAAAATTAAATTTCCCAGGAATTATTTTCGACCAATTTCGCTTAAATTTTATATTTGGCCATGTGAAATTACATTCTTTAAAAAGATGTATACCTTATAATTCAACATTTTTTTGGACAATTATTTAAATTAACTTATAATAAATATTTAAAGTTATTTTATGCCTTATCAGAATTTTTTAACTTCGTGCAAACGTTTTTAGATTCGCTTAAAAGATTGCCGAGAAATCAGCAAAATACACAAAAAGTAAAATTTCTTTTACAGTACGGAAAAAATTTTGTAGAATTTTTATTTCAACGATTGGTACCCTCTTTATTAATACTGATTTTACTTGATACATATATTATAATATGTATCAAGTACTCATATACTTTACTGATACATACTTGATTTATACTGATTTTTGTATCATTGCTAATGCGACGTGATCTTAGTTTTTTTCTTTAAACGGAGTAGCATCTGTTTGCTAGCATCAGTCGGTGGTCAATTTCAACATTCACTTCTGTTAGTGATAGTTGTCCCAAAGGTGACTTTCGGTGACTATTGGTTTAATTTCGGTGACTTTTGCAAACATGTATTAATAATACTAACGCTTTTTAAAAAGAATTAAGTTTAAATACTGTTATACAACATGTTCCTAGCTTTTTTTAGCCTACTGCAACAATTATTAAAATCCGAAGAATTCGACGAATCGGTCAATTGCGCTTCCTGCCAAAATACGGAGATTTACTGTTCCAATGTTCCCAACTTTATTTAATTCATTTTCCTTAGTATATATGTCATTTATATCAGCTGCTTTTTATGGCATTTTTTCAGATCTAGTTCACTTAGTGAACTGATGCTGTGAACTTAATTTCAAATCAGTGTCTATGTGTGCCTAACTATGCAAGTAATTAAATCTTATTTACTAGTAAATAAATATTTTTTAAAAGTGGAATAAAACTGTATTATTTTATTTAATTTAATAATAACTTACAAGTTATTTAAATTTTAAAAAAACAGAAGCTTTCGTAAAATCAGTTTATCAAGATTTTAATTAAGACGCATTGATATAGTGGATAATGGTATAGCGACGATTAGATAAAGTGAAAACGTAGGGGAGAGTGGGGTCAATTGTAACATTTTTTACTTAACTATTTTTAACTGACAAAAANCAATTGCGCTTCCTGCCAAAATACGGAGATTTACTGTTCCAATGTTCCCAACTTTATTTAATACATTTTCCTTAGTAGATATGTCATTTATATCAGCTGCTTTTTATGTCATTTTTTCAGATCGAGTTCACTTAGTGAACTGATGCTCTGACCTTAATTTCAAATCAGTGTCTGCCTAACTATACAAATAATTGAATGTTATTTACCAGTAAATAAATATTTTTTAAAAGTAGAATAAAACTGCATTCTTTTATTTAATTTAATAATAACTTACAAGTTATTTAAATTAAAGAAACAGAAGCTTTCGTAAAATCAGTTTATCAAGATTTTAATTAAGATGCATTGATATAGTGGATAATGGTATAACGACAATTAGAGAAAGTGAAAGCGTATTAATAATTTTATAAATATTTTTTTCAAATTAATAATTTATATTACTATATAATACTTGCCAGTATTAAATTTTTAATATAAATTAAGTTTAAATAAAATCAATTTATAGAGGGCTCAAAATCGTATTGTGAACTCAGTCATAAAATCATAGAAAAAAATATATTAATAATTTTATCATCATTTTTCAAAAAAAATAATGCGTTAATATTAACTCCGCAGAACTACTATTATTTAAATACTTATTAAAATATATAAATTAATTATTAAAACCATAGATTGCTAAAATTAATTAGGAGACTTTAAAAAGAGATCTCAATGCATGCATTGATATTGTAAATCCTGCTCTAGTATCATAGTTTAAAACATATTAGTAATTTTATCCTTATTTTCAATAAATAATATTCATAAACATTGACTATAAATTACTATTAGTATTCCAATACTTTTTTTAAAAAATTCATAAATTTATTATTAAGAAAATTTTATGAGAACTACATTCAATTTGGAGATCTCAAAATCACCTGCATTGGTTTAGTGAAACTCTACCATAAAATCATAGATTGAAACATGTTAATAATTTTATCCTTACTTTCAATAAATACATTCTATACATATTAATTCAAAATTACTATTAGTATTCAAATACTTTTTTAAAAAATTTTACATTTATTAATAAAATCAGTATATTAAAATCAATTTGAAGAATTTAAGAGAATTTTAGGGGAACTAAAATCAATTAATAGGTTTCAAATCACTTGCATTGGTATAGTAAAACCCTACTATAAAATTATATATTAAAACATTTTAAGAATTTTATACTTATTTCAACAAATGCAATCCTTACATATTAGTTCACAATTACAATTAGTTTATAAATACTTTTTAAAAAATTTATAAATTTATCACTAAAATTATAGTTTTTTAATATTAATTTCTAGAATTAAAGAGAAATAAGGAGAACTTTAAGAGAACTAAAATCCAATTAGGAGATTTCAAATTGCTTGCATTGGTATAGTAAAACCCTACTATAAAATTATATATTAAAACATATTAAGAATTTTATACTTATTTCAACAAATGCAACCCGTACATATTAGTTAAAAAATGGCAATTAGTTTATAAATACTTTTTAAAAAATTTATAAATTTATCATTAAAATTATAGTTTTTTAATATTAATTTCTAGAATTAAAGAGAAATAAGGAGAACTTTAAGAGAACTAAAATCCAATTAGGAGATTTCAAATCGCTTGCATTGATATAGGAAAACCCTACTATAAAATTATACATTAAAACATATTAAGAATTTTATACTTATTTCAACAAATGCGACCCGTACATATTAGTTCACAATTACAAAGTTTATAAATACTTTTTAAAAAATTCATAATTTTATCGTTAAAATTAGTTTTTTAACATTAATTTTTAGAATTAAAGAGAAATAAGGAGAACTTTAAGAGAACTAAAATCCAATTAGGAGATTTCAAATCGCTTGCATTGATATAGGAAAACCCTACTATAAAATTATACATTAAAACATATTAAGAATTTTATACTTATTTCAACAAATGCGACCCGTACATATTAGTTCACAATTACAAAGTTTATAAATACTTTTTAAAAAATTCATAATTTTATCGTTAAAATTAGTTTTTTAACATTAATTTTTAGAATTAAAGAGAAATAAGGAGAACTTTAAGAGAACTAAAATCCAATTAGGAGATTTCAAATCGCTTGCATTGATATAGGAAAACCCTACTATAAAATTATACATTAAAACATATTAAGAATTTTATACTTATTTCAACAAATGCGACCCGTACATATTAGTTCACAATTACAAAGTTTATAAATACTTTTTAAAAAATTCATAATTTTATCGTTAAAATTAGTTTTTTAACATTAATTTTTAGAATTAAAGAGAAATAAGGAGAACTTTAAGAGAACTAAAATCCAATTAGGAGATTTCAAATCGCTTGCATTGATATAGGAAAACCCTACTATAAAATTATACATTAAAACATATTAAGAATTTTATACTTATTTCAACAAATGCGACCCGTACATATTAGTTCACAATTACAAAGTTTATAAATACTTTTTAAAAAATTCATAATTTTATCGTTAAAATTAGTTTTTTAACATTAATTTTTAGAATTAAAGAGAAATAAGGAGAACTTTAAGAGAACTAAAATCCAATTAGGAGATTTCAAATCGCTTGCATTGATATAGGAAAACCCTACTATAAAATTATACATTAAAACATATTAAGAATTTTATACTTATTTCAACAAATGCGACCCGTACATATTAGTTNTGTCAAGAGTATTAACTAATCCAACAAATTGAAAAATTGTACTATAATTTCAGACTAATAACTCTGATAAAAAATGTAACAGTAAGGCGAAATTCCTATATATACTTTTGAAATAAAAATTTTAACATATTTTTCATTACATTGTACTCTCGTCGGTCCGAAAAGTAAATTATAATGTTTGGAATGATTATGAATACTTAATGCTTGGGCGATATTAAAACTGCCTACACATATTTTAGTTGAAAATTTAATTTTGACTTTTGACCAAAGATCATGGTCTTCTGGCCCACAGTATGGTGTAAGAGAATTTTAGGAGAACTACAATCAATTAGAAAATCTCGAAATCGCATGTATTGATGTAGTAAAACTCTGCTATAAAATCATAGCTAAACACATAATACCTATCTATCCTAATTTTAAATAAATATAATCCTTTCATATTAATTCAAAATTGCTATTAATATTTAAATAAATTTTTAACAATTTATAAATTTATCATTTACAAATTAATCATAATTTTCAAGTGATAAATTTTTTATCGAAAATAAATTTAGGTAAAATCAATTTATCAAGATCTTAAAATCACATGCATTGATAGAGTGGATACTGGTATAAAGTAATAAATTAAAACGTATTATTAATTTTATCATAATTTTTTCAATACAATGCGCTATTAATTTATTAATTCAAAATTACTATTGTTTAAATACTTTCATAAATTAAATGAATTTATTATTAAAAACATAGATTATTGAAATCAATTATGACAGGTCTCAAAGCAGCATTCAGCAAACCCTGATTTAAAATCATAAATAAAAACGTATTATTACTTTTATCTTCACACCCATTAAATACTATTCGATAATATTAATTTAAAATTATCATTTTTCGATAAATATAATGAGATAATATTATCTCAAAATTATATAATTAATATCTAATTTTTTTTAAAGAATAAATAAATTTACTATTAAAATCATAGATTATTAAACCAATTATGAGAATTTAAAGACAGGTCTGAAAATCGCTTACTGTAAAACTCTGATTTAAAATCTTAGAGTTTATTAATATTTAATCTTGGTTTCCAATAAATGCAATACGTTAATATTAATTCGAAATTACCTTTAGTCAACACTTTTTTATTTTAAATTAATTTAAAATTTAAACATAGTTTTCAAGCGTTAATTTTTTTAAATAAGAAACAAGTTTAGGCTTAATAAATTTATTAAGACCTCTAAATTGTGTATATTGATATAGTGATAGTGTATATTGATATAGTATTGATATAAATTTTCAGAAAGAACAACTCACCTTTAATGATATCATCACGTTTTGGGGGTCTTTGAATCCAAAATCTCAAAAGAAGAATGGCGTGAGTTGTGTCAAATCTCACATATTTATACCAATATCCTACAAGACACAGAAATAAACATCATGACCCTTGGAACATAAGCTCACACGCGATTGACAGAATTCACATTATATAAGATAAAAAAACGAAAAATAGAATTTCTCGTTTTCAAGTGGCCGACTTACTAAAAAAAGTTATGAAAATTTAAAGGAGAAGACGTATTATTTATGCGTGCGTGACGTATTTGAAAATGATTTTGACCTAACATAAAAATTCTCTTAACTTCGCCGGCGTCCATCAAACTGTAACTGTCGCTGGAAATGTGATTTAGAATGGACTTCATTTTTTCATTTCATTGGTCATTTGGACCTGGAAATAGTCGTTTGACATCAATTCGGGTTCGATTATTCATCAATTTCTGATATTTACTGCTTATAAATAGTTTTACTGGAGCAATGGTTTTTAAAAAAATGTTAATTATTGAATTATGTGAGTTTGATAAATTACTTAACTTAGGCTTTACTTACTCTTCCATTAAACATGCAGATTTGAAATCTAGAGTTGAGATGTTTTTACTTGTAGTCTAGAAATAGAAATAATTTATCGGTTTCAATTTTATGGCTTTGTTATATTGTTGAATGCATTGACCATTTTATTGACATTTAAGTACTATAGTTTAAAGCAATAAAATACGAATCATGTATTCGAAAGATCACTCAAACAATCTATAATTTAAAAGTGTCGGTTTTACGATTATTTATGAAGTATATATAAAAAGGAAGAAACAATAAATTTTACATGAATGTTTTGGAATTTGGAATACATAATGAAAGCATCAAAAGGCAAAACTTTAAATTTAAATGATCGATCTATTTCATTCCTTGTTTAAAAAAAAAAACATTAATTTCCGTGTTCACTATATATGAATCATCCATATTACAAACACATCCATGTTTGTTAATAAATTATAAAAATGAATGAATAATAGGGAAGACAAGGCTAGAGTAGACAAATGGAATATTTTTGTCACTTATTACTTTGTAAATTTTGAAAGATTGGCAAAACTATGTTACACCTTCTTAGTTACAATACAATACATTAGATAGTGAACTAGAACAACTGTTCCCCAATTCTGTTTCTTGAAACCTGTAATTAAATTTATATCCGATTAATTACCCATTATTGATTTAACATTTCCATTATTTTTATGAAAGTATTTAATTAAAATGTTTGCGAAGAAAGAAAGCAAAATTAAAACAATTCTAACAACAATATATTGAATGAATAATGTAAAGGACATAATTATGAAAAATTGCATTAGTATTTTGCATAAAATAAAAAGCAAACCAAATTCAACAATGAAGAAATATGTCTCTCTAATAACCATTCTTATCAATTATTTTACTCTTTTTTCGTCTTAGTTTCAATGAAAACCAAGTTTTAGCTCTTGTATACACACACTAAAATAAAATTTAGGACTATATGCCACTCCACTTAACTGTCTGGAATAATAATAATATTGATAAAACGATAAGATGTAAAAAAAAAATATTTTTTATACATTCATATTTTTATACAAATATTTTCAAAATAATAATTAAAATATCAATCATTAAATATTTTTATTTATTTATAAATTGATTTATTAAGTCACGGGGTTCCACCAAAATACGATCGATCATTTAGACCAGTGTTTCCTAAAGTGTGGTACGCGTACCCCCAGGGGTACGGCAACAATTTAGCGGGGGTACGCGTACCTAGGCGAAATATCTTGCAACAAACTAAAACTTCAAAAAATTTTGTTTGAAAACAAAGCTAGCCATAAAAATTTACGATTACGTATTTTTCTATTGGCTATTTTTTGCAGAGCGAACAGTTAATAATTGGTGGGGCCAACAGCCAGTTGTGATTTTTCACTTCTTTATTCAATTCGTTCAATTTCTTTATAGCAAAAAATGCATTCATTTTTTTATTAGGGGTTCACAGTATTACGAAAAATTTGGAAAGGGTACACAAAAGTCATAAGTTTGGGAAACACTGATTTAGACCACTGAACTAACATATTGAAAAGTAAGGTTTATATGATAAGTAACTCGTTGATTTCGGCCTCGATTGCAACTTCCAAATATTTTATTCATTATTTTTATTTATAGGAGATATTTTATTATAAATGATTATGTTTATGGCATTTTTAATCGGCACAATTTAATTGTATTTCTTTAATTAACGCAAAGTGAGCTTAAGGAAACAAATGACTCCACTGGGCAAGTGAGGACGTATCAAAATTATTCACGTTGACTTAGCAGGAATTAAGAAATGTACTTAATCTAAATTTCTTAATTAAATTTCTTCCATTTCTCATGCAGACATATTTTCTTTACAATATAACGTACAGTGGTTGTAACTAAATTATTAAAGTTTGTTTTATATTATTACCACCGTTAAAGTTTTCTGATACAAAATCCTGTTTAAGCTTTTTCAAAATAATTTGGGTTAATTACTGAAACACAACTTATTTGGAAATTTATTTGCTAAATTAGATTAATATAATTTCCATGTTTACGACTGATGTGAAAAAAATCAATGCATATTTTAAACTTTTAAAAAATAAATAAATAAGTAAAAATAATAAATAAAAACTCTGAAAATGAGTTAAATCATTATTTTTTCCTAAATGTCCAATTTTACTAAAGCATAAATCAATAACTGCATTTCGGAAAAAACTTAATTATTTTTCATTAATAATGTAATTTAGTAAAATAGCCTAATAATTATACAGCATTCTATCACAAGAAGCATAAGCAACATACCTGCCAAATTTTATGCATTTGACTTAAAATTTTATTTTTATATTTAAAGTGGTAGTAAATATATACTATTTTTTTTTCTTTTATAAACTTAATTTTTAAATTATATTGATCACCACTATTTTTAAAAAAATTAAGTAAATATAATAATATGTGTTACCCTCATGGTTGAAAACATAAGCTTTCTCAAATACAACGCATTTTTTCGCTTAAAATGGAAAGAAAAAGGCGATAATATATATCAGTTTATAATGTGATGCGTTAAAAAGTCGTGATATTTGTTTTTTGCCTTAAGCGTTATTTTCAAGGTTAGCAGATAAGCGTATATGTATATAGAGTGTGTCAAAGAAAACGGACCTCCCCGATTAACTAATGATCGGATCTTCACGTTCTAGGACTCAATTTTCATGATTTGAGGGGGTGACCTTAAATATGCTAATCAATAAGAACAGGCGATATTTTAAGTTACGAAATCAGACACAAAAACTTACTTTCTCTGAATAAACATACTTTTTTTTTTCTTTTTTGATGGATTCGAATTTCTGACCACCAAAACATAGGAGTAACAGCAATCCGGTAAATATGGTCCTCATAGTACTAATGTCGGGAGAGTGATTCAAAGCTTGAACCCCTAAATGTTAATTTTACTTTTTGCCAATTTCGCCATATCTCTAGAACTTTTTGAGCGAATTGAAAATTTTTTGCACACAATTATAAAATTCGTTTGTCCAGCTTAAATGCATTATAAATGAGAACAACTTATTGTGTTATTTCGTGAAACAACATAGCCTTCGCAGAGCAGCTTAACACGTTGAACGCCACGGTAATTTTACATGTCTTGCCCGTCAGGCCACAACGGTAAATAACTACAAACTAAATTTGCAAATATTAGACTGATTTTGCTAGTTTTTAAAAGGTTTAGCATGACATATCAGAAGAAAGTGGTGAATTATATAAGCCTACGAATTGTTTAGAAATAGTGGCGGATAAAAACCTAGTAAATTGAATTTATTAAACCAAGAATCACAAAAAGTAAGTAAANCATATGAAAATCAGTCATTTTCCTGGCACTTTTTTTAGTAATTTATAATTGAAATAGGTAGCGCCAGCAATCAACATCTTAGGTCAAGAGATTAATGTAGTAAAATTTAAAACTAACTCATTGTGTGCGTTACTCTCTCACTTTCATTATATTTAACTAATTTATTAAAATTGTTCACAATAATTATTTTTGGAATTTATTTACATTAAAAAGGCAAAATTAAACTTCCCAACTTTGTCTTTTTTGAGTTTCTTAAGTTGAGTTACTTACTATTAATACTATTACGTACTATTAATACTTAGTTACGAGTTACTTACTATAAATACTTACTATTAATTAGCTTAAAATGACTGTTTTCTTAACTTCTAAGCTAATATGTCATTTTCCTGGCATTCAGAATTTGGTGAATTTCTATTTTGTTTTTTTCTTGTGCAAATGTCAGTAAACAACACGGCTGTCTGTAAGATATTAATAAATGTAACTAAATAAACGTGTATAAAAAAAATAATTCTTTTGAAGACTTTAAATTTGAAGAATTTTTTTTTTTCCGAATTGTCATGTCTCCGAAGAATCACCCATATATCTTTTCGATTTCACGAGTCAACGATTTGAAGTATAGATATGGAAAGATAATAGACTCCGATCAGCAAAACAAATCATGAATTCACAACTGAAGCAGATGCTTTTTTAATAAAAATAAGATTCAATTTTAAAAAAGGTAAAGAAACTGCAGACTTTTTGGAATCATTTTATAATGGGAAGGGAAAAAAAATTTAGAAAAATATTTCTTTAAGAAAAAGAAAAAAAGTAGCGCATTTTTAAGATTTGTAGCGTTTGAAAAATAATAAGTAGCCCAAAAAGTAGCGGGTAGCCCAAATTCGATTTTTAGTAGCGGGGACTTTTAAAAGTAGCCCAATCTGGCAACACTGGCGTGGCATAGACCGATAAAGCTCCCGGATGGTCTCTTGCGATATTTCCTGCCAAATTCGATCCAATTGTCGAACGAGGTCATCAATATTACGTGCCAGATGCAATCGCCTTCCCATCATATCCCAGGCACGCTCGATGGGAGAGAGATCTGGTGATCTGGCAGGCCAAGAAAGAGTTTGACAAGCTTGCAAACAGTTCATAGCAACACGTGCCGCATGTGGTCTGGCATTGCCCTGCTGAAAAACCAGCCCAGGGTTCTGCAAAAGGAACGGTAGCAAAACAGGTCTTAGGATGTCGTCGACGTACAGCTGTGAAGTAAGTCTACCTCTAATGACGACCAAAGGGGTCCGGCTGTCAAAGGAAATGGCACCCCAGAACATAATGCCTAGTTGAGGGCCAGCGTGGCGTGCAATAGTGAGGGCAGGATCCCCCCTCTGCCCTGTGAGTCTCCAAACACGTCTTCGATGATCGTCAGGACACAGTTGGAAGCGGGATTCGTCGCTAAGGACTATACGTCCCCAGTCGGCATCATTAAAGCCTGATTGAGCGTCGATTTTGAACGTCTTAGTGCGTTCTTGGTGCGTCGATTTTTTTGTTATAGAGTGTATATGGAATTTCTTCGGAAATAAGTGTCTGATTTATTAAGCTACTCGTAACAAAAAGGA